ACCCCACAGATAATGATTTGTTCATGGCACAAAGACATAAATACTTTGAAAAACTTCAGAACTATTGGGTTTTGGAGCAAGATCTTTGAATTTGATTCATGGCTGCCACATATGTCAGGGATGTTCTATTCCTATGGAAAAAAAAAAATAATTTTGGATAGCAATTCCAAAGGTCATGAACTTCAATCCCTCCTTCAAAGGAGAGACAACTTAGAGCAACCACTCCACTGCAGGCAGCCTTATCTAGCTGAGTTGCAATTACCTTGTGATAAGCATCAGAAAATATGAAGGGGGAAAAATAGCAAGAAAAAATTGAAATGTGAAGTTTGAAAATCTGTAATTGTTGTTCACCTACTCTGAAGATCTACTCTGAAGACCACGTGGGACAGTTACTTTGTACAACAAAGGGTAAGAACATAGAAATTATAGCTCATTTATGGCAATGCAAGAAATGACAAGCTTAAATTGCACAAAAAAGGGGAATTTAATAGTGTTAAAGATTCAAACACTGGGCAAATATCTGAAGAATGTTACAGAATAACCATCCTAAAGGAAGAGAGGCTGTTATAATCATACAGTCACAGAATGATTCAGGAAAAGACTTCAAATACCTTCAAGTCAGATCATCAACCTAACACTGCCACATGCACCACTAAGCCATGAGCCCAGTTGCCACATCTACACCTCTTTCAAATACTCCCAGGGATTTTAACAGAAGCACTTCCCTGGTCATCCTATTCCAATGTTTTGCAACATTTCCTGTGAAGAAAATTTTTGTGTTAGGAAAAATGTAGACAAACATCTCTCAGCAATAGTAGTGAATATATTGCAATGTCCTTTCAGGATCTTTTGTAACCCTACTTCCTTTGTGAAATCACAATTGAGATTGTTATGTACCATTATAATTTGGTAGTTCTGAGGAACATATTTCAGGTATTCTTTCAAAGTGTTTTCTGTCCTCATAGATATCATTAGGCCTCTCAGAAACTGTATCAGTTATAACCTGGTAAAGTTACAGATTGCAAAAATTCAGGAAGGCTGAAGAACTAAGAGAGATCAAATCATAATTATAATATTATCTTCAGGTTTTAGTGAGGAAAATCATATAATTAGGAGTAAGCAGTATGGATGACACTTGGAGGAGAAAAACTGCAATTATTAGTGTCACTTGAAAGACTCCTTAAAGATGTAGTCCTCTGGAATAAGGCTGAAAGAGAAAATAGAAATTATAAAATATATCACCAAGACCAATACCAAAGTGGAAAAGGTGAGTTCATCTGAAGAGTGTCTGCTTATTCCAAGAGCCAGGAGTTTGGCTAGATACATACCACAAAAGTTAAAAAAATAAGAGATTTTTTTAAAGCATTGAAATACGGGAACATGTTTGTTTGGTATTACAGGTTTCTTATTGAAAAATGTGGTTCCTGTTTTCTACATAGAGGAAGATAACTATAGTGCTTATAATAGCTTGGGGAAGGCATATTGATTTTTATGCTTTCTACTTTGAGTTGCTCAGCTGCTCTGCACACTAGAGTCATTTACCTGTTCAGGATGAATTGTTGAGAGCCTCTGAGGGGCTACCTGCCTACTCTCATGCTTTTTGTCTCCTTCTCTCTGACTCTCTTGCTCTTTCCCACATCTTTTCCTCTCCACTTTCTGAAGCAATTATGTAAGCACGGTTGTACATATCTGTATGTGACTGAAATCCTTCTTACACTAGAAATAATTGTAGCAATAAAAAGAAAACTTAAGTTCCAGTTCATAAGAGGAAAGGTTCACCTTGAGATTGCTCTTCAGGGTCAGACATTTTTGTTACCAAGAATTTGCACAACTGTACAGACCACAGTCATGCTGTGACAAATAACTAACTCAGTGCCTTCACAATACATGGGCAAATTGTCCACAGAATCAGCATTTCAGGGCTGGGGGACTTAAGACAAAGTAACTCATGAAAGAGCATGCAGAAGTGAAAAGACACCAAAACAGACAGGTATGAAGGGTTAGAGGCCATCTCTGCTCCACTTTTGTGTAGATCGATTATCTCAATGAAGTGATATTCTATCACCATTTTAACTTTTGAAACTAATTCCACTAATTCAGAAATCCCAGAGAATGGATACAGCATCAAGACCTAAAGAGAACAACAAATTTGTTGGCAGAAACAGGGATGGAAGAGAACATATACTATAGCTTTTGAAAGAAAATGTTTTTTCTGATCAGCTTAATAATCACTTTAGTTTATCAGTCCAATTAAATTCCTGTTTTCTTAACCTAAGAAACCAAAGCCAATCCACATCCTAGACCTTAATCAGAAATCCCCACCTAGAGCAAACTACCAGTACTTTTGTGTTCACTTTAAACATTTCTGGAAGACAGACTTTTAGATGACATTACTATTTTCTGTTTTAAAGCCATACCAAATGGTATGGAGCAAACGACTGTCCCAAACTCCTCATTATTACCATGAATAGAATATATTACTGAATCAATGGCCATGCCTCCTGAAAATGCTGCAACCTAGCTTTGGGGCTGGGGATTTGGAGCCAGTTTTCCAGGGTTTGATGAGTGTTTTATTTCTTTACTGGTTTGTGTGCTATGTCTTTAAATACAGTATTGCTAGATAGCTGATGTAGTGATGTACTGTCTGGCTGGATTGAAGTTAGCTTATATCACAACAGCCCACATACTGATGTGTTTTGGATTTCTGAATAAAAGTGTTGATGACATACAAATATTTTAGCCATTGCTGAACAGTGCTTACACAAGGACAAGTCTTTCTCTGACCAAGTTTGTTTCTCTCACTCCTCAGTGAGCAGGCAGGAAGTGAACAAGAATTTGGGAAGAAGCCAGAACACCTGACCTGAACTGACCAAAGGAGTACTCCCTACCAGGTAATGTTATGCTCTGCAACAGAAGTTGTGGATGTAGCTTGTCCATAGTCATTGCTCAGACACCGTCTGGGCATTGGTCTTGCTTGTGTGCCATGATAAACAACTTTTTATCACTTTTCTCCTCTTTTTCTTTCATTAATTACCTGTCCTTATCTCAGCTTGTGTATTGTTTCTTACTTTCAGTCATTGGATTTTCTTCCTCACCCACTGGAGAAGGGAGTGAAGAAGCAGCTGGGTGGCTGCAAGCTTCTGACCAGGGTAATCACCATAAGTGATATTCAAGGAATGCTGTTGGTTTGGATAAGACATGGATTACTTCTGTAACAGAGATGTCTTCTCTGTGTCTCTCTTGTCCCTTTTACTTAGGTGGGCAGCAGTAGGAAAGGCTTAGCCTAAGGACTCCTTATAAGAAAAATGGTTTTCTTGCTTCTATATAACTGTACACAAAGTTTGAATATATAACTAGATAATACAATAGCAAAAATAACTGGCCTTTAACAAACCTTGCTCAAGAGGGCTCCTTTCCTCAACAGAGGTCTTATGAGCTAGAAATCTGTGGTGTTCCTTCCCAGCACTGGATATTTTCATGTGTTTCTCACAGGGACCTATTTGTTCTAGAGCACAAGTTTGAATTTCCAAATATTCCACTCCCAGAAATTAACTGATCCTGATGTGGTTAAAAGTTTTCTGATTATTGTGCAAGACATCAGGACAATGTGTTCCATTTTGATGTGTAAATTACTCTTCCTGGTACAATTATATAAAACTACCTGTGATATGATCAAAAACACCGCTTTACCTTGATTTTAGCTTAGAATGTGAGAATGAGAGCCTGAAAGATGTAATGAATAGAATTCAAACAGAGAAAACAAATAATAATAAATAAATGGGAACAGCTGCCACTATTTAAAACTCTAAGAGTACATTTATGGCAAACAAGATTGCTTTTTAAAACTGTCAATTTTAGCAGGGTAGAAAGTAATGTTTGTTCTAGTTCATTTCAGAGTTTTTCATAACTAATAAATGTCTTGGCCATAAAAATTACTATTGAAACTGAACAGCTAACAGCCTGACTATCGAACAATAGGGCTACTTAAAAAGTTATTTATCAACATAAATGATTTTGCATAAACGAGACATTTTTATGCAGAAAATGATGAAGTAATATGCCACTGATTTTCATAGTGTAATACCCTGTAACTAATGGGTTTTTTTGAAAAATCATTTCACATTTCCAACAATTTTAGGAGGGAGCTAATGATTTTATATGACAAATGGTTATGCAAAATAGAATGATTGTGTGCAGTTAATGGCTTCATACAACTAATGAGTGAATACCACTCCTACAATTTTAGTGCACATTACTTTCATAGTGATCATTCATCCTAAAGATATTTTATGCCTTTTGTAAAATTTATTGTGTGCTAGTCCTTTGAAGGATATATTTCCATATGCTTCTCTTGGTTTTCTGCATACTAATGAATTTTCAGTATGGTTATCACATATTAAAGAGTATACCATGAAAGGCATTGTAAAACTACTTTCTTTTCACGTTGATTTGATATTGATAGTCCTCTTAATTCACCTTAGTGAGTTTTGTTAAATTAATTTAAGATTCTGATCTAGTTCTCCGCTTGTGATCTATTTAGCATGTTATTCTCTCTTCATTTGAGTTTTGATAAGTTCATTTTTATTTAGAATAAAAATTATAAAATGTCCTACTCTAGCTTCAAAGAATACTAATAGAATGCTTCATGACATCCAAGTACATGCCAAGGTGCAACCACTTTTCTGTAGCTAACCAGATCTTTATATTCCTTCAGTGTTTGGAAATCATTAAATATGCTGTAAATCTCATAACTATATTGAGAAGAAATTTTGCAAGATATTTTCCAGTTAAACATATGAGCAACAAGTACAAAGGAATGTCACTTTAACATAATGGAAAAAAAAAAAAAAAAAAAAAAAAANAAAAAAAAAAAAAAACACAAAGAAAATGTGTAATTCCACCCACAACTGCTTGGTAGTCTCCTTAGTTTAACCAGCCAGCAACAAGGAGATATAAAAATCATACACTGTCACCAGAAAGGAGCTGAAAGAAATTAGTACCTTTATGGCAGCATCAGCAAACTTCCTCTGAGACATCACAAGCCACTGTAATATTGGTGAACTTTTATCACTCTCATAATGGCCTGGGAACACAAGACAAAGGAGTCAGGCTTAAATTACCTCACCATCAGTCCAGGTTTGACTAAATCCCCTGCTAAGCAAGTGAATCTGGACCCTTTTCTCCCCAACAACGACTTTCTGTCTGTCTTCCATTACCTTCTTATCTCTGTCTTCCGTTTCCCCTGCACTTTAATATAAAGACTTGATTGAACTGACCGGTATTGTATGTCCTACAGCTTTCCTCTCAAAAACATGTGCCAAATGAAAACAACAGCTTAAATAACTTTGCTGAGCACAGGTTCGCCCCATTTCAGACTGAAGGAAAAAGTCATGTTTTATACATGACACCTTACACCTTAACAGTAAAATTTGAAAAAAGTAACTGAGAAAAACAAAAGCTGTTTTTTCATTTTTAGCTGCCTTCTAAAACTGCTTTTACACTTACCTTCCTCCTTCAGGAAAATGGAATCCTGTTAAAGTTAGTCAGATGTAAAAACAAGAGACTCTTTTAGCCCTCTAAAAGGAATCGTCTTTGTTTCTCTCCAAAAACGATAGCCATTGCAATCATTAAAATACTTTGAAACAGTAAAAGGAGAAAGGAGAGTATTACCAGTAAAAATTTTGGAAGCTACAGAAGATGGAAAACTGATATTTTTTTAAATGAAAGCCTGTAAAGATTTCCTTTGTTACCTCAAATCTTTTGCCATTTTTGACTGTCTGAGACCTTTGGTTTAACAGAGGTTACTATAATGTCCTCAAAATCTGGTCCTAGCTAACATCAATCAACCTAAGTTTCTGATGAAGATAGTTTCCACCTACCCTTGCAATATCTGCAGTACTTTCAAATTCTTTTCTTACAATGTAAAGATATATTCTGATCAAGACCTGGGAAACATTTATATAGCCAGATTTGTGCAATTTGAAAGAACTTCCACTGAGCTGTGAGTTGCTGTGCCTAGCTGGATTCTAACATCACCTTAACTAGACCCAAGCAAGCTTAGACATTTCCCACTATACTGCAGCACTCAGAATAAAAACAACTTTCCTCATAAAGCTCTAGACAACAGCATAGATATAGCTCATAGAAGTAAATATTGTTTTCCACCAAGACCATTTACTAATTTAGTATTGAAAAAACTAAAAATAAAATTAGCCAAACTATTTAACACAAGCTGTTTATTCAGTTAGTGTATTTCTCCCTGCTCCCCTCAAGCTAATGTGACCTTGAATCATCTCTACTCAGCTACAAGTATTCACCCAGGTTTGTCTTAACTCCTGATAGCCATGGAAGGAGAAGGATAAACTGAGTAGGAGGCTAAAAATATACAATAGGAGAATAACATCTTTGAAATTTGAACTCTGTAGTGCTCCGCCTCCCTTTTCAATAGAAAATCTGAATACTTAATGAGCCAAATATCAGAATTTATACTTCATTGTAAAAGCAAACCAAACCAAACCAAACCTAATAACTGCATTTGAGTTTTACTCATTACTCATACTTGCAGTAAAATTAGCATTGTGCAAACTCTATTTTATCAGTAGTTACAAGTCCATCCTTAAATATGTACAAGTGAAAATACTTTTCTCTGATTTGTAATAAATATTTTGCTATTTTAGTACTCTCACTAAATACTACATGGGAAACAAGTAACAGTCTACTGCTTTCAATGTCTTTGACATTTGCCTACCCAGAAGTCAGCCACTGCCACCACTCTTATTAGATTTAGTTACAAGTATGATGCAATTCTGCATATTCCCTTAGATGAAAATTATGAGATAAACATAAAGAGAAGTTTCCAGTTTGTTAGGTGTTGGTTTTCATAGATATTAATATTTCAATACCTCCAATACAGTGTGCTCATTCAACAATGCAGGTAGCTGAAAACTATTCATAGCAGAATAACAATTTGTTGTGGAAATTTCTTCTCTGGAAAAAGCTTTTCCCTCTGAAGACTTCATTTGGTATGATTCCACATGAGATGCCTATGTAAGACTGATATATACAGCCCAGAGGAGATGCACAGAACACTGCAGGATCAAAGGAGGGAGGCTTTACCTATGAGAATCCTTCTTTTCCTTTACTCATGTTATATGCCTTGCACATTTATGCACCTTTATTTATGCACCCCGAACCAAAATAAACTGGCAGATGTGCATATATAAATCTTTGGTGGTCTATGCTCCTGAAAACTCTTGACAGCATATTTTAATAATTATGCATTATTTATGAGTCTACTTAGTACCAGTGGAAACTGAAGTAAAAATATGGAGGCATCTGATCAAATTTGTTGGTCTTGTTTTAATATAAATTAGCTTTAGCAAGTCAAGTATGCTTTTTCAACAATTTATACGTTTCATAACAGTGGAAGCCCCATTTTCATTGAATTAATTATCTTAGAACTTTTTACCATAGAATCACAGAATCATAGGATCATAGAATATTTTGGGTTCAAAGGGAACTTAAAGATCATTTACTTCTAACCCCTCTGCCATGGGAGGGCTGCCATCCACTAAATCCAGCCAGGTAGACTCAGAGAAATGGGGCATCCGCAAGTTCTCTGGGAAACCTGTTCTAGTGCCTCACCACCTTCACAGTAAAGAATATCATCCTAACTTCTAACCTAAACCTCTCTTATGTTACTTTAAAAGCATTTCTCTTTGTCCTACCACTATATGATCATGATAAAAGGCACTGTGACTATTTTCATAAGGCCCATTTAAAAACTGGAATGCTGCAAAGAGCTTTTATCTGGAGTCTTCTCCATACTGAGCAATCCCAGCTCTCTCAGCCTATCCTCACAGGAGAGGAGCTTCTGCCCTCTGGTAATCTTTGTTGCTCTCTCTGGACTCTCTCCAACCAGTCCATATCATTTTGATGATAAGGGGATATGGGGAGTAAGGGACTCCATGTTTGGATGCAGCATTCCCACCTGGATCTCACCAGAGAGCCGGGTAGAGAGGGACAGTGACCTCCCTGACTCTGCTGGTCACACTGCTTTTGATGCAGTGCAGGATTCAATTGACTTCATGGGCTGCAAGTGCACACTCTCAGCTTTTCATCCACCAGAACCCCAAAATGCTTCTCCATGGGACTGTTCTCAATGAGCTCTTCTCCCAGCCTGGATCTTTGTTTGGGATTGCCCTGACCCAGCTGCAGCACCTTGTACTTGGGGACTTCTTGCACTTACTTAGGTTCTCATAGGCCCACCATTAGGTTTGGGAAGGTACAGCCACACTACCTTAAGGTAGACTAGCCCAGAAGTGACAAGGAGCCCATGTTATGCCTTTGGAAAGCTATCAAAAAAGCTAACTTTTTTGCAGTTTTAGGCTCCCAGCTTTTGGCAAGTAGGGCATGGTGTCAGAAATTAGTTATTTGCTTTTCTTCATTCATGGGATCTTACACACTTTTAGTTTGAATATTGATTAAACAAGTAACTCAGACTCAAGAAACATTATTAAACTGTTGTTTGATCCCAATGTGTCTTATTGATGGTAGTGTGTTCTGCTGATTAAAAACCAATTTCATGTGAGCTGATCAACAGCACAGGCAGAACGTCTTGGTTTAAACCAAATAAAAAGACAGATGTTACTTTATTACATGAAATGATGGAATTGCCATAATACTTTTCCATGATGATAAATCATGAAGTTTTAGATCTCCCTATAAATATTAATTGTCATTTCATTTCAGCTGCTATGACCATAATGACTCAAGGTTTGACATATGGGAATATCTGGCTGCATAAACAGAAAATAGTAAGCAAGATGAAGTAGTATCAGAAATGTGTTCAAGTTCTCTCTCCTTCTGTTTTACTGTAACTGCCAGGATAACCCTGTCTTAAATATTGGAAAGGCCCTTTGAGAGGGCCACAAGTGATTACCTACAAAATGAAATTAATGGGAGAAAGGAAATTTTGAAATCAGAAAATATGTTTTTCACCCAGGAGGCACCACAAGCATGTCTCAAATAAAACAAAGTCATTCAGCTGTATCTTTCCCTCTACGCCACTGCATGACCTCAACCTGATCCACATGCAACAAGCTGGGATTTTATTTCACAAGGAGCAGGGCATCCCCTAGGCCTCCCCCAGGTGTATTTGTCTAGACTACACAGGCAGAACACAAAGCAAAGAGACTAAAGACAGGTGTCTTGATCCCAGACAAATTTATAACATCTCCTGTTACAGAAATACAGAAAATTTCCTTTTTAAAGAACTATCACAGAAAACATTTTTCCCATCCACTTTCAAAGTAATATAGAAGGATTTTTGATGAAATTATAAATGCTTTACAAAGTCATGCTCTGTTCAGCTGGATCATGCACTGACATATCTATGTAAACATTACCTTTCCTATCTTTTTGTTCAGTCTATTAAATTCATCAGCTGTGGCTTTCACTTCAAATTGTCATTCACAAGAAAACATGAAGTTAGTCCACCATTACTGTTTAATTTGCAGCTTTACTTACCCATCTATATTTTTGTACTATGTACATGGTACTGTGCTAGAGGTTTTCATGTCTTGATTAGAAATGTTTATGAACTGCAATTTTCATGCCATAACTTTTCATGCCATATATTAAATGCTATTGCTGCCTCATCCTATACAAAGGGTTGTAAAGATCAAATAAATATGTGGTTTACAATAAGATAAATGCCATAAAGGATGGAACTTTAAAATTTAATCTTGGAATCAGAAGCACAAAACACTTGCATATGATACACATATTTATAACACATAGACTTATAGATTGTAGTTGCTCAGCCTTTAAAATTATGAAAGTCTTATCATTAAAGCAGCATTAAATCATTAAAGCAGCATTAAATCAATATTCTTATTAGAAAAATATGCCATTGACATCAAATTTCCAGTCATTAATGCTTTTGAGATACTCAATTTATTATGGACAAAGTTGGCCTGTTTAGACCCACAACCCAATTGCCGCAAAGGCAAATTAACAGATGCAATTAAGAAAACATTAAATAAC